TGACTGCAGATTCTATTATTGCAACACTTTTAGTCACAAAGTGTTATTTTTGTGTTCATAGTTTTTCTACAGTGTTCCCTGAAAAATTATACATGTGTATGTATATGTAACAATTTATTGTCTCATGTTCCACATATTTTCAGTTCCAGCTAATTAATTATGGTAAATGGTGTTTGTAATTTCACTTGTGTACAGTGTTTTTGTTTGCAAATATGATACATTAAGATGTAAATAAACGAACATGCAGGATTTTCTTATCTTGGGGAGCCTCAGTTAGGTTGCAAAGATCTGTTACTTTACATTGTGGGATGGTGCTTGTTCAGTTAAACATCATAGCTTAAACATTAGTTTGATCCACATCATCAACATGCAGTTTAGTTGCAACTACATAAAAACATAACCACACAACACAGAGATGTAACATTTCTAGTTCAAAAATAATCTGAAAACGTTTGACTTTTTACAGAAACTTTTAATCTCTCTCTTTTCTGCACAGTCAGAGAAACCTTAGGAGAAGTTAAACAACTGGTTAAACCAGAAAGCAAACAAAGAGCCCATTTTCTTAGTGCTGATATGAGTAACAAAGTTTGATTGGTTGGTTCATTCAGTACATGCTATAATGGATGTAAATTACTGGACAGAAGTTTCAAACTCTTGACTTTCCCTTTATGTGGTCAAACAAGTCACACATGCTTTTCCTGTGCAGCCTTACAGTTCACCTCGCATTGAATGAAATGGCGAACTTTGGAGTTTTACTTTACGAGTTTTATGTTGCTGTCTTTTTTATTTTTGGGAACTTTGACAAAGGTGAGATAAACTGTATGTTAATTACAATATGAGATCTAAGACAATTTTAACAGTAAAGACTCATTTCATTCTTTTTTCCCACAGGTACAGGCTCAGGTTTCAAAGGATTTTACTTGTGGTGGTGGGAGAATTATTAGTAAGGTGAAGGTGAAAATGTGTGTCATGTCAGACCTGTGGGAGTAACGCTGGACTTTCTGTTTCAGTAAGTGTTGAATTTGAACAGAGTGTTTGTCTTGCTTGACACCTTTATCTACAGCTCTAACAGCAGTGATCCAAACACAGCAGACTGTGCTGGCAGCAGTGGGAGAAGATGCTGAATTCAGCTGTCAGCTCTTGGAGACTAAAGATGTCGTTCAGGTCACATGGCAGAAAGTCTCACAAGATGTTGAGACAAATGTTGCCACCTACAACAAATACTTTGGTCAGAGAGTGAATGATGGCTTTACAGAGAAATTTAAATTTACATATACTGGACTACAGAACTGCTCCATAGTCGTCAGGAATGTCACAGAGCAGGATGAAGGCTGCTATCACTGTCTGTTTAACACTTATCCTGAAGGCTCTCT